GGCCATTCGTTCCCGAAAAACAGTGACCGATAAATTCCCCTCCTCTCCGTGCAAATGGCCCCCTCGAAAGTTCCCTCGAATCGAGATGTATCTGTCAATTATAGAATCGCTGGAGACACACCAGGGGGGGGATTTTCCTCCAAATACTCCGATATTCGATTTTTCTTTCGCGAGAAAAAAAGGAAACCGCGCAACTATCAAAAACTCTCCAAAAGTTATTTTTGCCGGAATGTACTCGATCGAGGATTACGTTATAGTTGGATGGAAATTTGTTTTAAAATTTGAAATATTTTTGAGAAACTGACCGAGATTCCATAACTATGAGAATTTGTTCGATTGTTGTTCATCCAAGCTGCTTTAAATATTTTTGGAATTTCCACATTCTGGGAATAATTGGCAATGATTTATCATATCGTGGTAAAATCCCTCGAATGCAAATAATTAAACAAGTATGAATTAAATAGAGTATAATAAATTTAATTGATCAATAATCAAGTTCAAAAAATGGTAAACTTAAAATTAATCTTATAAATATAATATTTATATATTCAGATAAAAAAATCGATAGAAATATTCTTCGATATAATATTCAATATTAAACCCAGAAACCTTCAATTGAATCAAAAGGAGACTGATTTAATTCAATTAATATTATTATGAAAAATATTAAATATAAAGGATAAATTAAAATCACAAATTTAATTTTATTTTGATAATAAATTCTAAAAAAGAAAATCTTTCAATTAATATTATTATTCTAAAAACTTAAAAAAAAATATGAATAAAAAATGACAAAACTATTTCTTACTTTGATATAAATAAAATCTATTTACAAAAAATAGAATTACGAAAATTTTAAATTATCCCTTCCTTTTGTGCAAAAATTTGTACAAAATTTCACTTCCCCTTTATCAAGAGATATCCCTTATAAACAAGATTGAAAGTTTTTGTGTTTGCATTATCGTGAATATTTTCGAATAACAATAACTAAACACTCTTAACGCTCTTAAGGGATCTAAGGAAATTTCAAATTACACTTTCCAAGATTGGATTACATCCCTCCCTTTAGAAGCAATACAAAAACCGCTACCCTTAACAATCTTTCTGAATTTTTTCTTTCTATTATCGCGAACATTTCGAAATCTCGTATCAAACAACCTCCTCGGACCAACCAAGGAGTTTAAACGGAACAATTTAAGAAAACACCCCAAATTACCCCATCCATTCAAAAGACCTCTCCTCCCCTTCGTTTCTTCCAAGATCATTCCCCTGAACCAAATAACCTCATCGCCTCTTTCAATAAACGAGATAAAAACTAATCTACTAACTAACTAATTTATAATATAATATAATATAATTTATAATATAATATAATATAATTTATAATATAATATAATATAATAATAATAAAAAATAATAATAATAAAATATAATATAAATATAATAAAAAAAAAAAATAATCCACCACAATAGGTAAGAAATAGGTAAGAATAAGAAATAAAAGAGAATCAAATAAAATAAATCGAGTCGAAAACCGAGTTCAAAATCTCTCTTTTCTTCCCTCGAAATCGACGACTTCTCAAAAAAATCGAATGATGAAGAGGAAGAAGAGAAAAAGAGGGACGAGGCGCAATTTTCGAGGAGCGGCGAGATCGTTGGTAGACTTTTCACGCCTACGCGCCAATTTGCATGCGTGCACCCACACGTGCGCGTGTCTAACGCGTGGACACGTGCGCACACCGGAATAAACGTGTATTTACTCAAGGGTGGAGGGTGTACACAGAATCCATCGAGTATATGAAGAGAGAGAGAGAGAGGGAGGGAGAGAGACAGGCTAAATGATAGAGCAAGCATAGGCCGAGGAGTGCCATCCAATATATTGCGTTACACAGGCCGACTATCGATTCACTACCAGCTATCAGCTTTCGTTGCTAGGCGATATCTCGATGATATCCGACAGCTACGACTCCTCCAGACTGGAAGGTCGCAAAAACGCATACAGTCAGTGGATGCACGCGTTCTTTGCTCTCTTCCTATTATTACGTTTCATCCGATAACGAATTAATGATAATGAAGAGGAAATCGAACGATTTATAATATATTTAGGTTTCGTATATATTTATTAATGCGTGCACGTTGGATTCGAATCATTTGAAATTATTTCGAGCGTGTGAAAACATTTTAAGGAAATTTCAAAAAGTTGAAACAGATTGCACTGGTGAAACAGTGAAATAATTATTTTTTAATCGATTTTATCGATTGAAAGTTTGAAAGTAGCAAACAGATTCTTAATTTACCTAACTCATTTTCAGAGAATGAAATACATACTTCGTATAAAAATATATCGCACGCGCTTTGATATACTAAACGTAGATCAAACAAAATTTTGAAATTGCTATCATCCAAAAATTTCTCTTTTCTCTCGATAACACAATGATTTGGATACTAATCTCAATATTCACTTGTCCAACAATAATTTTCAATTTCACCGCCCAAATAAATAATTCAAGTAATTAATCTCAAATAATAATAAATGTATAAGCAGTACAACAAGCGTGTAGAATCGATTATTAGCGTCGACTGGTGAGAAAAAAGGGGTCCTGAAGCGGGGAACGAGTCAGCGACGAATCGATCCCCTCGCGATTTTAATATTTACGGGATAGACCGCGTGCGAAATTGGCACAAGTGTCGGGGAGGAAGGGTTAACACCCCCCTCCAGGGACGCTTCGGCTCGAGGAACCAGGAAGAAGGGTAATTTTCCGGGGAGCGACCCGGAAACGAGAAAGCTTCATTTTTGGGCCGAGAAACGAGGCGTGGACTGGAATGGGCCAACGGACAAGGACGACCGGCTCTGATCGACCTTCGGGATCGGATCGTTGGCCGGAGGAATTTTAAACGGCGAATGCAGGGAATGCGCTCGGCCTCTTTTGCGGCCAATTCATTATCCTTGGGCCCTCCGAATCGTACACTTTTAGATTAGAATATACGTTTCACGGAGTGAAACTTTTTAGAGTTGAGGATGCTACGTTCGGTATAATAGTTGTCCAAATCATTGAACTATCATTGTGTGTTCTGCATTTTAAATAAGAATATATTTCAGAGTGAAATTTTTTAGAGTTTTGGACACTGCATTGAGTATAACAGTTGTCCAAATCATTGAACTATATATATATATATATATATATATATTTGACAGTAAAATTTTTTAAAATTGAGAACACTATAGTTGAGTATAATAGTAATCCAATGTTGCATATTCTTTTATATTTTAGATGAAAATATATTTGAGAGTGAAATTTTCTAGAGCTGTTTTTAAAAGTTATTTTTTATTAATGGTTATGTTTGAATATTAGTATTGTATATTGAGAATAGGTTTGAGAATGAAATTTTTTAGAATTGTGAATACTATGTTGAATGTAATAGTTATCAAAATCACTGAACTATCTCCTGAACTTGTATCCTCTTCTGCATTTTAAGTAAGAATATATTTGAGAGTGAAATTTTTTAGAGTTGTGAATACTGCATTGAGTATAACAATTGTCCAAATCATTGAACTATACATATATATATATTTGACAGTAAAATTTTTTAAAATTGTGAACACTATAGTTGAGTATAATCCAATGTTGCATATTCTTTTATATTTTAGGTGAAAATATATTTGAGAGTGAAATTTTCTAGAGTTGTATTTAAAAGTTATTTTTTATTAATGGTTATGTTTGAATACTAGTATTGTATATTGAGAATAGAGGTTTGAGAATGAAATTTTTTAGAATTGTGGATACTATGTTGAATGTAATAGTTATCAAAATCACTAAACTATCCTCTGAACTATCCTGAACTTGTATCCTCTTCTGCATTTTAAGTAAAAATATATTTGAGAGTGAAATTTTTTAGAGTTGTGGACACTACATTGAGTATAACAGTTGTCAAAATTATTGAACTATTATTGTATATTCTTTTATATTTTAGGTGAGAATATAGTTTAGAGTTGCTCTTGAAAATTATTTCTAACATTATATTGTGTATAATATAAGTTGTCCAAATCACTGAATTATCATTGTATATTCTTCTGCATTTTAAGTAAGAATATATTTGAGAGAGAAATTTTTTAGAGTTGTGGACACTACATTATAGTATAACAGTTGTTAAAATTATTGAACTATTGTTGTATATTCTTCTGCATTTTAAATGAGAATATGTTTGAGAGTGAAGTTATTATTTACTACTATATGAACATTTGTATTTGAGAGTGAAATTGAAAATTATTGTTGGACAAGTGGACGTTGCATTGAGATTAGTATCTAAATCATTGAGTTATCGTTGTCAAGTACTTTTTTGCATTTTAAAGGTGCGAATACATCGGAGAATCGCTTTCTATAATGTTGTTTCTTGCTTGACAGACACTGAGAGTTGAGAGTGGCAATTACTCTCGAGTAGTTGCTCTCGATGCAGTGTCCATTAGCGAAAAATAACTCTCCCCTCGACAATTTACAAGAAGTTCTACTCTCGCAAAGATATTTGCACTGAAATGTAAGAAACGTAAGTAACTTTCACTATGAAAGTTAATATTGGATAGTCACTCCAACCCAATCTATCCATTAACCAAAAATTACTCGACTGTAATTCTCGAGAGAATTCTCTTACTTACGAACGTTTTATTGATGAAACATTCACAGAATGCGAATTATATTCGAAAGTAGAACTCCCCGCGTATTTATTTTATTTCGACAACCGAACTTTCACTCTCGCCTCTCTGTCCCATTACTGGCAAATCAATTTTATCGAAAGTTTTACTCTCGGATACATCTACATTCACTAAAAATTCGAAACTCCATTTAAAACTCTCCAAACTTTTCTAACATTATTATATCCAATATAATTTTCCTCTTGTCTAAAAATAACTTTTTACGTGCAACTTTTTCGCGAGAGTTTCATTCTCAAAATTCTCAAACTTATCAAAATCTTCAAAATCCTCAAAATCTTCAAAATTCTCAAAGTTCTCAAACTTATCAAAATCCTCAAAATCCTCAAAGTTCTCAAAGTTCTCAAAGTTCTGAAAATCCTCAAAATTCTCAAATCTCGAGAGTTTCGTTCTCAAAATTCTCAAACTTATCAAAATCTTCAAAATCCTCAAAATCCTCAAAGTTCTCAAACTTATAAAAATCCTCAAAATCCTCAAAGTTCTCAAACTTATCAAACTTATCAAAATCCTCAAAAATCCTCAAAGTTCTCAAAGTTCTCAAAGTTCTCAAAATCCTCAGAATCCTCAAAATCCTCAAAGTTCTCAAAATCTTCAAAATCCTAAAAATTCTCAAAGTTCTCAAACTTATAAAAATCCTCAAAATCCTCAAAGTTCTCAAAGTTCTCAAACTTATCAAAATCCTCAAAATCCTCAAAGTTCTCAAAGTTCTCAAAGTTTTCAAAATCCTCAGAATCCTCAAAATCCTCAAAATCCTCAAAATCCTCAAAATTCTAAAAATTCTCAAATCTCGAGAGTTTCATTCTCAAATCTTCTCAACCAGGGATGGATGATTCCTTTACCTAGATATCTACATATGTTAATCAAATGAATAAAAGAAAGGGGACAGCAAAATTGGGAATGAAAAAGAGAGAGAGAGAGAGAGAGAGAGAGAGAGAGAGAGAGAGAGAGAGAGAGAGAGAGCAGAACTTATCTATCATTCGCATCATCCCCACGGGCCAAGTACGAAATCGCTTTCACCCGGATCGATTGCGTAATTATACCGTGGCAGTAAATGGTACACGAGATCAAGATCGGTCCCCGTGGCGATCCTCCATACAATTCAACAGGAAAGAGAGAGAAAAAAAAATTCCAAAGGCCACGCATATTATCATAAAATCGCCATTTTTAATCGAACGATTTAATCTTTAATTTTTCTCCATCCATCCATACATACGTACATGTCTGTGTAATTTCTCGATAATCTTTTTTTTTTTTAAGATAAACGCACTCTTTCCTCTCCTCTCTGATGAATTTATTGTATATATATTATATATATATTCAATCTAAATTTTTTACTGTTAATGATAATTATATATTAGATGATTTTTTTTTTTCTTAAACTCTAGTCTCTCTCGAAAAATGATAAAAAGAAATAAAAATATTCACAGTCGTTCGATTCTGTACGATAAATTTGCAAAAAGTGAACAGATGATACAACTAAACTAAAAATTATATTAAAGTATATAGAATCTATTTATATTATCTATACTATCTAAAAGATTAATAAAAATGTATACATTTCGTTCATCTTTTTTCTTCCATCATCTCAGATATTTGATAAAACTTCTCCTGTTCCTTTTTGAATAAAATGGCCGGTCGAAATGAATCTTTTCTTCCTTTCTTTTTTCTTTTTTTTTTAAAACAAAATGAAAAATTTAGTCGGTAAAATGAAATACGTAAAACCAAGAAGGAGAGAACAGGTGGAAGAAGAGGCGTAAACGCACAACAACGTGACAGCCAAAACGTACAACCAGCCTCTCGTTAGACGAGACAATTAAAGATCTCGTTATTTTCAGCCGCGAAAACCGGATCGTTTTAACGAGAGTCCGGGAAATTAAATGTTTCGAGATTACAGCGAAGCGACTTCCATCTAGGAATCATTGTCCAGAGTGGACCCGTTTCAGACTATCTCTGAGGAGATCTAATCGTCCCTCCCCCCCCTCCCCCCCAACATCATGTCCGGTTAAAACAATTAGTCGTGCCACGAAGATCGACGTTCTGATACACGTTCTGACTCTGCTGCTTTTGGATTAACTCTAATATATGTTAATATTTGGAATATACAAATATACTTTTAAGATGGAACTTGAAAGTTTTCGTTAAAAATGTTGTTAAAAAAATTGTTATTTATTCGGATTTATACTTTTTCTTAAGAGGAAATTTAAAAAGTTGTTTATCGAACTTAATTTTCAAGAATATTATACGAGCAATTCTGAAGCTAAATTGAAACGAGGATGGAGTTAGGCTGTGGAGTCAAGTTTCTGGATTAACCCTTGCGTTAATAACCAAGGTTTTTCACTTAAGGAAGAATTTAAGGATAGTTATTTTCTCGTCAAATTATTATTTGGTATGCCGTGATCGATTTAACTTATAAGTTTGAAGTGAAATTGATAATTTTCATTTCCTGAATATTTTATTTTGCCAGAAATAAAATGTGATTATTCAATTTCTGGTTTTCGTGTGATTCGTGTCTGATAAAAAAAAATTATTAAATAAGAAATTAATAGGAGAAAGGAAATAGGGCCTAAGTTTAATTTTTCCTTATAAAAATGGCGCACGAAAAAAATTATTCTTGCAATTCCAAAGAAAATATAACATCTATGAAAATCTACATTGTTTAATATCCATATTCATCTCAACTCTGGAATCTCTATTCCTGTAATATCAAACCAATTAGCTAGTGATAATCGCCTCTCGAGTGAAAAGATTTAACTCGAGAGGATTTGTTTTTTAAAACGAGACTTCTCATCGTGGAAAATGGGCAGAGGCGAGGATGCCACGGATGTTATTCCGGCTGGGTCCGCGATGTGTGACTTGGCAGCGACACCGATGACCGTGTCTCGTTAAAAAGAGGAGGGAAAAACCGGCTGGAACGAAATAAGGTGAATTAAAGCCAGAGGATACGTGGGTCGTGTATGAATCCAATTTAATGAAGCAACTTTGTATGCGTGTAATTATCTATTCACGCTATGGCCGGACCCAGACGCTCGTGTAATTGCTTAATGACCTTTTATGAAGGAAAAAATAAAGGGAATTGGTCGCTGTACCGTTTCACAAACACGAATCGATGGATCTTTGAATGGATGTTGAAGTAGCAAGATTTCAAGAAGAAAAGATATATAATATAGAAACGGTATAAATCGAAAACATTTTGACATTTATATTTATAAGATATTTTAAGAAACAACAGTTTTCTTTCAATATTTTGATAATAAAAATATTATTGAAATATACTTGGTATATATTTAAAAAATAACGATGAAATTATAGGATAATAGTAAACTTATGCGGTAAATATTGATATTGCACAATAATTACATGCCATTATGACCATTAAATTACTCATAACGTAATTTATATTCCATTCACACTACTAATATATACAAAATTATAATTAACACGAGTATAAAATATAATTTAAATTATGAATAATAAAACCAACAGTCACAGTAGAAAATTATCATAGTTTAACAATAGTTCGTAATTTTGTACCAAAATCTCGCGCATATATCTATTCACAATTCATACGTAAACCACAATTCATTCATACTAAATATACAACGATCGGTTCCACGGTAATAACAGCGACTATTAAATCATTATGAAAATATCCGCGACCCGTTCGCCAAACGTGGCCTCAAACTTGTGATCAATACTATATTCCCACGCAGTAAGATTCTTTCTCCCTCTTCCCACCGCTACTTGTTCTCTATCTCTCTCCCTTTCTCTTTACACATCCCCATCTCGCTCACTCACTCGCTCGTTCGCTCTCTCCTTCTCACTTTTCCGCGTTCTCGCTCTCATCAATGACCAGTTTCTCTCGCTCGCACCGCCTCGCCTATACACTGCTCTTTCTCTACACCACACGAGTGAGAATCCAGTTTCTAAGCGCGAAAACGGCTGGACCACGTGTACGCGTTTCAAAACAAACACGACGAACCCGCGTGTTACATTGGCGGGACGATATTACGTTTTATTTCAACTCCCCTTCTCTCATCCATCTTCCATACGTGTTCGTGGAACTTTCCGTTCCCTGGCGAAAACGACGAATTCTCCCAGCTGTGGAACAGTTATCCCACATCCGAAAGAACTTTTTATATTGTACGTTAAACGCATTGACAAACGAATATTTTATTGTCGACAATTCTCGATTACCAACTATTATTTTTGCATCATTTCTCTTTGAGTTAGTTGTGATTAATGCATAAACCACAACTAACTATATTAACAATTATATTTAAAATGTATAATCACGATATTATAATGCCAATATTTATCAATTAATTGTTTATGAAACGAATAATTATTTTTTTATAGATTAGATTTATTTGAATATAATTAATATTTATTTTGCATCAATCTAGTAACTACAATCAATATCTAACCATTACAATCAATAACTAAATTTTTTAAAAATATCATCAGATGTTCCAATTCTTACTCTTTTTTCATTTTCATGTTATATGCTTTAAATTTCCATTAAATATATATATTAAAAATTTTATTTAAAGATAAATATGTTATTTTTAATATAAACAAGAGGGTTCAACTCTCTCTCCACGAATCAATCACGTCACGAAAAATACTAAGTTAAAGACAGGTGCGATGGAAGCAAACCGGTGGAAGAACGTGAAAATGCGAGACTGCGTGCAAAATGCAAGGAGTATGCATCCAAACCAAAGGTATCGAGAGAAGTGCAGGTGGCCACAACCAGCAGGGAACTTTTGACAAAAGAGACCACTTGAACAATTTCCTAGCATACAAAGACGCTCCACACCGATAGTATACATACAAAGATTTCTTTTGATAAGCTGCTTAACGAGAAATTTAACTCTTTAGATTCTTTCATCCTCTTTAAGCATTTCACTATTAAATTGAGAATTTTTAAATGCACGCGGAAAAATGACAAGCAAACAATTCAGTTCAATGAATAAGTCGCCATTTTGTTTAAAATGTTTTTCAGATATAGATGATGTACTGACTACAAGAATACTGTGAAATATGATATATACATTACATACATTTAATATTTAATATTTAATATACATGGTAATGAGCGGGTTGTTTTCAACCGGTTCGAATTCTTCGCTTTCGTAACATCGTTTTCCAACGCGGTTTTGTAAACAAGATAATTAACGCAAACACCTAGGCACGCGATGACCGTCTTAATTACACGCCACGGTTCGACGATCTAAGGGGAGCGAAAGTGCGAGACGAATAGAAAAAACGGAATAAAAGAGTAATACCGTGGTGCCTTTGATCTTGTCACGCTAATAACTTGTCAGAAAAGTTAATTAATAGAGAAGTCTCGAGAAAACCAGACCAAACGGGCAAGCAAAGATGATTGACTTCGTTACATATCTCTTAGTTAAACCGGAAATCAACTTCCGCTTTTTCTTTCCTTTGCGATCGTCACCACAAGAATTCAATCCGTTTATCATCTACATCAATTCATAGTTGCCACCCTTTTTTTCATAGTGACGCATCACTTTAAATATTTTATCTCGATATTACGATTGCCGATAAAAATATGAAACGTAAAATTTCAAATATAAATTGAATTTTAATCAAATAATTACGGATTAGAAATCTATAATAAAATTGTATATATGTAATAACTGATACAATGACTCGACGTTTTTCAAATTGAACATTAAAATAAGTTATCTTCCGAACAAAGAAAAATTATTTATAAATAATCTCTCCTGAGAGATTGTAAGAAAAGACACAAAGAGGCGAGAGAGAAATAAGAAATGATCGACCATGGCAAATTACGCAGTATCTACGCACGCGAGCATCAGACGCCACGAGGAACGTCGACGATAGAAT